ACTGGGACACTTTTTTTTAAACCTCTTTCTCAAGATCACAGTTCAGTGATTTTATTTTACAGACAATACTGCGTGTCTGTAGAATGCTAAGAACCTCTTTCCAACAATATTTGAAACTCAGAATGTGTTTTGGAGTGAATGTGACTGAAACTGTTAACTAATATAAGTCACAAATGTTTAACAAAAACCAAATGTGCACACTTTGTTTACCATTGCCTTGGGAAATTTGAATAAATCACATTTTTGTAAGACAACCTCACTTTTTCCTTTTTGCTCATTCATAACATTTAGTCTACTCTTACCAGCTTGAAAAAACGATGGTATTTACTGCTTTTTATAAAGAAATACCATTAATATTATGCATAATTGACTTCAGCCTTTTGGCCTGGCCCTCCACAATATTTTCTATTTCTCATGTGGCCCCATGGAAAAAATAATTGCCCACCCCTGCTTTAAGCCATGTCTCTTGTTGGGTAGGGGTCAGTTTGATTATCTACGGTCCGAAACAGAGACGCGTGTTCTATTTCCTAGCAGGTCGCCCAACCATCATATGGGTCAGCCTCTCCAAGGGTGTGCTGTTCTAGGAAGCAGCAGAGCAAATGAACCCATTAACCACTCCCTTTGGACGTAATCAAAGCCTATAAATACACCTGAGCATCCTCTGGATCGTTCTCCATTCATGAAGACGAGGGCCTGAGGACCGATCGCAGCGTTTCATGTTTTCGCCACAACTTTTAATGTCACCGCTTCCTTTTTGGGTTACAAAATTATACTTTATGTTTGGTAGAATTATGATTTGTTGATAATTACACAATGTTGTTGTCCTGTTCTGGTGGTAGGGCTAAGTTCCACAGCCAGTTGGGTTTTTCAAAACTGATCTCGCCTCATTTAGTTATCTGGAAAAAGCTGGAAATGCTTTTTTAGTTTTGTTTTTCATGAGGAAACAGTAAAGGTGCTTGTTGTTAAGCTTCAACAGAGCTGAATGCAAAGATTTTTGTTGCCTTTTCATGTTCAGAGCTGATAAAGGCTGCTCTGGCTTGTGTGGGTGGGTTAGTGGGTGCAGGGGTGGAGGTGAGTGTGGATGGATGGATGGATGGATGGATGGATGGATGGATGGATGGATGGATGTGTAACGGAATGAAATGACTGTTTCCCCTCTCCTCTGACACAGAACTAGTCTGCATGAGAGACAGTCTCAAAGTCTCATGCATTTGCTAAAAACTGCTTATTTTCAGCTCTACAGAAGAATGAAGAATGGACTCTTTCCTTTTAATTGATCAAAGAACTCTATTTTATTAAGATAATCACGCAAAGTGTTAGTCAATAAATAAGATGTGACCAATGTGTGAAATCAAAATATTAATTACTTTATTAAAATCCTATAGAATATAACAAGTAATATGACTTTAAATGTTTCCACTAGGACTGATCTCACGTAGCGTTAAAAGACATGACACATTGCTTTCACTGATCCAATCAGAATCTGACAGATCTGACAGAGGCATGGTTTTGGTGGTGTTTGGTAAATCTGTCAACTTTTCATTCGACCATAAACCAAAACATCCAAAGAATAAAACTATGCCCACGTCATCTCTAACGCCAGTTCAAAGCGTTCTAGAGAAGTTGTCGGAGTGGCCAATCCGTAACTTTCCTCTTCAGCCAAAAGAACAACAAAAAGCTGGATAAAATCTGTTGCATGTTCCAACTGCTGCAACGGTTCCTTTCAGAATAAAAGCTGCACCATCACGACCCAAGTGGGTCTCGCTAGACGCCAACAAAACCGTCGTGACCTGGAAGTATTTCAAAGAATGGTCTGGTCGGCAACCGCTGCTTTTCCTACCAGTTTTGGTTCCAGAGAAGGTCAAGCTGGACCTCGACATTCCTGATCTAACGGAGACTTCCGCTCAGGGTACGTAGACCGGCAAATGGCGTTGAATGTGTTTATGAATCTCCTAACCAAAGCTTAGCGCGAAGACATCATCTTCAGTTCCCATCAGAACTAATCGTTTCTTCGGATTTGCTGGTTCTGAGCAACATTCCACTTCACCCCATTCTCCGTCTCATCCACCTTAGTTACACCATACATTTAGTGTTTAAAGTCAGTCTAGTTTAATTTGTTTTTAATACATTTTTTAACTTTTAAGCTTGACTCTCTCTCTTCTGTTGTCTCTGAGTGAATACGAAGCTGTTATCTAATCCCTGCATTGAAAAGTTCCAATCTTCTGGTTTAAAATAACCCAACAGATCCATAAGGTTGATTTCATATTTCCTATGGAATCCTACGCCTTATGGCTCATTAAATAACATGTAATTTAAATCATTACAGATGGATGGATGAGTAAGGTGGGAGATCTGGTGCCAGGGCTTATTGTTTAATCCAGAATCTTACTGAGATGCAACTGTGGGTGATTAAGGGAGTTCCCAAAATAAGTACAAGGCTTCTCAATTTTTTGACTCGGAAAAGACATTAGAAGGCTATTGGGCTGCATGGTGGTGCCGTTGTTATCACTGCTGCCTTGCAGCACGAAGGTTGCAGGTTCGAAACTTGGCTGCAGCCTTTCTGCGTGGAGTTGTGTGTTCTCCCCATGCATGCGTGGGTTTCCTCCGGTTACTCCGGTTTCCCCCACAGATCACAACATGCCCTATAGGTTATAAATTGTAAGTCGCTTTGGATAAAAGCGTCTGCCAAATAAATAAACATAAACAAGACAAATAAGTGTAGAGTTGTCACAGACATCTGAACGCTTTCTCAGTTTAGTTTTTGAGTCAGAAAAATTATCTGCAATCCCACCAAAGAAAGATTGTCACAGCTGAGATTAAACAACTCAAAATCTGATTACAAAATCCTCTGATTGGTCTCTTTAGAAGAACACAGAACAAAACAGGTGACTAGATTAAGCTTCTTTAGCTCCCTAAAGGTGTGGAACACAATACATTCACAGTGGTCTCTAGTAAGAATGAATGCCTTGTAAGTCATACTTGAGGGGAAAAAAAACCCAGATGCACTTGTATCAGCATGGAGGAGTCAGCTGGAGGAGAGAGTGACAGAACACGGCTGGATTTGGACTCTTATTTCCTGATGTTTGGACATCTTGCCTAGGATTGGATAACAGCAACGCAACTCTACCACTGACTCAGTTTACTTTGTGACATGGATGTTTTACCTCCACAAATAATACAAGCCAGGAGGAATTCTGCTGGGTGGAGGAGTTGCTAATGCTAACAGTTAGGTTCTACTGCCTGAGACGTTCTCTGCTGTTTCCTGGACACTAAACCAACAACAGCCCTCCTTGTCACGAGTCAAGATGGGTGAGCCCATGAATCTCTCACACACTAATGCCGGAGGTAGGTGCAGGAGACTTTTTCCATGTTCAGCCTGCGTTAAAAGCTGATTATAATCAGAAATAATAATTTAAAAAACGTTTTTTCAGAGCTCCACGCCTTTAAAGCAGAAATTCAGAGTTTTTTTTTCAAATGGCGCCATCTGTAGGAGGAAAAACTTATTGCACGGTAAGCCCCTCCCTCTGCTTCTGTGATTTTGGCTGGAAGGAACACCTCTGCGGCTGGACAACTGAGCTAAAACACATTGTTTTACAATTATTACTCTCACGTTATGATTTTATTCATTTATTTATGTATTAAAGACATACTTGTCCATAAGAAGTGTCGCCAACTGTGCATTAGTCTAGACGTGTGGTGCACGCTCTGTGACATTTGTATGTAAGAGGATGTCTAACACTTTGATGAACAGAGCTCAAGCAAAATTGTATGGGGCTCTATGAGATGCTAATGAAATGGCATATTCCCTACATTATATTACAGTACAAGTTAGGATTATCAATTTTACAGATTTCTAAAAAAATCACACATAATTCCTTAAAGAGGGAAAATCCGGATTGCACCTTTAATAAGTCAAAATCTGCTTATTTGATTTGGTTTTGGGCAAAAATCAAAACCTTCTGTTTTCATTCTGATGACATCCTGTCTGCAATATGCAGCAATACAACAACATCAGCATTCAGATTTCTGCAATCCAGTCCAACATGGACAGTTTCCATACACGTTTAGAGCCATGAAGGTGGCCAGTCTCCTTCAACAATGGGTCTTGGTTCACAATCAAGGACCATCTACATCAGTATGCAGTCACTGCTCTCACAGAGATGGCAGAAAGCACAAACAACAACCAGAAAAATTGATTTTATAGCTGAAAAGACAAGTTTGCTCACCCAGAGCACTTAAAGATTCGTCTAATCTATGTTGTTTGGATCTTCAACCATAAATTCTAGCAAATCTGGCACTGAAAGTGTCTCACTGCCTCCAGTAAAAACGACGCAGCTTCAAGTATTTGCATGATAATGATTACTGGCTTACAGAGAAGGAGATAGTTATGAACCTCCTCTCTGCCTGGTGCGATGAAGGGAAGATACTGCATGAATAAGCCGATAAGTAGCATCGGCTGCACTCCGACTTATTCCAACACCTGCAAATCGTCTTTGAAGATGATTCTGTGGCGTAATATGACCCAGTTCAAGTGTGAGATGACTTGAGCCTCTCCATCTTTAACGTCTCTATCGCTGTCATTCAGCACGGACAAAGAGAAGGAAGAGGAGAATTATAGAGAAGGAGATTAAGTTATTATTCATTAAGGAGGTGTGATCGCCGAAAGGAGGAATTTCTATGACTGAAGAAAGATCTTAATGTGTCCGAGCTCACATCTGGCATGAACGTGATGGCAGCTCATACCAGTGGAGACGGAGCCTGTAGCGACGATCGCTATTGTTATGTCTATAACAGAAATTATTCATTGCTGATGAACGTTTCTGTTCATTGGTATGTGGTCTACTTCTCCTCCGTTGCCTTGGTGACACGTGCCTCAGAAGACAACACAGTATCTCACAGTCAGTGAACCAAATCCCTGCAACCCACAGAATTACTCTGAACTATGAATTTAAAGGTTAAGAGAGAAAAAATAACAAAAAGGTGCATATATTAAACCGTACCTTCCAACGAGGAGGAATTCCCCGTAGACCCCGAGACGCCTCATGGCCATGAGGAGTCCACGGACGGTCATGCCCTCGCAGAAACACACCACAACACGAGCTTTGGGGAGACGCTCCCGTAATTTCCTAAGGAGGCGGTCGAAGTGTTTCTCACCCGCGTTGCTGTAGATTTTGTCCGAGTGGGCGATGCACAGGCCCTCCTGAGAGGCCAGCTCTTTGAAAGCCTCCATGCCACTCTCCCCGTAGTTTCCTGAAGGTGACAAAGAAATTCTTACCAGAGTAAATCTAAATAATAATAATCAATATTAAGCATTTTTATTTGCTTCCACGTGGATCTGAAGCTCTGATCCACTGATGAGTCTCAGAGCTTCACAGCTGCTGCTTGCAATCAGAGCCAACACAGTTGACGACCTTGTTTGACTCTAAACTGTCCCAATCAAGAGTCAAGCTGTTCAAGCCTAAATCTTGTGCTTCCACGTGAACTGTCGCTCTGCACTAATGTGACTGAACTGCTGATAAAACCCAGTGCCTGAGAGGTGGATTATGCAGACAATCCAATCAGTCATGAGTGTGCCGCAACATGAATTTACATTCAAACGTGAACTCCATCAGACGGAGATCAGGAGGAACTCTCTGTAAATATGTGAGAACATTGGAGGAGCCATTTGTCTTGATGAGAGGCCGGGTCCCTGAAGGCGTCTGCGTGCCACGCTCCGCTCGTATGAGTGATGAGGAACAAATACTCTATCTGTGCACGGCGTGGCTTCATAGAGCTGCTGAAATAGATATCATTGTGACGCGTTTGCTTGGTCACACAATAGGCCTTATGTTGGGTTTCCAATAGTCCTTTGATGATATTTTCAATTGCCTCCTTTCACACTCTCTCTCTAGTAAATGGGAATAATGATATCTAATTATTTTACTCTCTCTATCTTGGCTGTAAGACAGGTGGGTGGCAGTGGTGGTGCATTGGTTGACACCACATTTGACAATGACTGAAAAACCTGCTCCGAGCAGTCCCACCGCACAGATGATTATCTAGACAGGTAATATATGCAATTTCACAGCTCTAGCTGTTGCCACGGGCAACAAGCTGCACTTAGAACTTGTCTAGGGTGGTGGAGAGTGAAAACTCGTGTATTTAAGCCAGTCGTGACCACAAATTCAGAAACTGCTGTAATAAAGAAATGAGCAGACGGGTTTGCACTCGATTGGATTAAAGTGAGGTGTGGGTGTGTGTTGAGTTATGGTCAGATTTGGCTCTAAACATTTGCTGCTTACGGTTACATGTATTAGAAGTAAATTTATTCAACACCACTCAACATCTGGAAAAGTCATTTGATGTCTATTTTTAAGTTTTAGCCAGAAGAATGCATGAAAGGGGGCGGGGCTTAAAACTTTGAAACTGCACCCAGCTGCTGAGAAGAGTTTGGGCTGTTTCAGCTTCAATTTCAGGATTACATTCAGATGTCTACTTATTAAGATCACACTATGCAGTTTTGGGTTGGTTTAAGCACCCGATAGTGTCCGTTAGTGAAGCCAAAAGTAAAACGTATCTCCTCGCTATGTGTTTGTCTTTTTAACACCTTAATCTAACAGCTGAAATGTCTCCTCAGCCTTCATTAGTTTCTACAGGAACGTTTCATTACTAAATCAAACTAATCGAGCTAAAACACACTGGAAGCAGACTCCAACACCTGGCATGTCAGCTCCACTGTACTAAGTCCAACAGGGAGAGGACCGGCAACTCTGAAGTTGCAAGTGAGGCATTCTGATAACACAGAGAGCGGTGGCGGTCTGAGTGACTCTTCAATAGCCCTGTAAAGGGTCATTTTAGAATAAACTGGCTCAAGAAAATGGTTTAAAAATATGAAAAATGTTACACAGTGTGGCTTTAAGTATGCTGGAACATGCCCCAAAGATGGAGATCGGACTCAGAAAGTCAAGAGATTCCAGACCAGCCTCAACGTCAAAATCCAGCATGGCTACCCAGTCCATGAAAAATCATGCTAGCTTCGCCAAATATCATTTTTCTTCTCACCATAACAATTATGCTTGTTTCTTAATAATTCAGTCACACAAACATACGGTTTAGGCACTGTTGAATGAAGAGATTTGGCTTGTACTGGTCACCGAGCACAACCATTAACTAGACCTATTGGTTTTTTGACTTGACTGGTCCAGATCTGAGCTGCAACTACAAGGGAAATGGAATGCAGCCTTAATTACCCCTCCCAAATTTGATTTCTCTTTCAGTTTACTGTGGTCTCAAGACGGGGGTCATGCCACTGCTGCCCCCTGGAGATTCCTCCAGGTACTGCTCTTTCCCTGATCCCTCTGTAATCTATTTAATGCTAACATGTGCTCACCTCTTGTACCTGACTATAATAAGACTTTCCAGAAATGGTTTACAGTCCCAGAGTATCTGCTGCTCCTGGGGTGGGGGGTTGGGAGGGGGGGGGGCTGCCTAATGTAACCTGTCAGTCACAATCACTGACTGTGTTTCACCAAGTCCTACATGAAAGGCCGTGGACATAATTCATTTCACAGTAATTATTTTGTCTATCTAACCGCAACAAACAAGACAACACGGATATAAATCGTGCACTTTTCTAGCAGACAGCTTTGCACACTAAGTGTGAAGTCGTGAAAATAACACTGCTTCGGAACAAACCCTTGGAAATGCACAGATGTGACTGCTTGCTGCTACAAGCTGCACATTAATGCAGACACCGAGACGTAAAAATCAAGGTCCCCTCAAGTAATGAGCTCAGTGAATGTTCTTATCACATCATCAAACCTGGAGGACCTCTGAAATCTTGGCTGCATGCATGTGATCCTGGGCATGTCAGAGTGTGACTCGTCTACAAATGTAACAGCCAATAGGCTATGTGTCACTTTTAATAAAGTATTGCTTTAATGCTATGGGTGATTAGACTATTGAGGTCAGATTCAACTCCTGTTGCTCACTAGTTTGGTAACATATTGAGGATTGGCAGGTCAGGGATGGACTCTCACCCTCAGTGTGAACTGCAGACACGTAGGTCCAGTTGTACCTCTTGACAATGTCCAGCATGGCGCGGGCCTGCAGGGTGTCTGAAGGGACGACTCTCAGGAAGTACTTGAACAAAGTCTTGTCACTCAGGTCGATGCTCGTGGCAGAGTAAGCGATCTGCGGGATGTTGAAGAGCTGCAGCAGGTTCTGAACCTGGATAGCCACAGAGCTGGATCCGGGACCGATCACCCCAGCTATGGGTTTCTTGGAAGGCGGTGGTTGATTGGACGGAGTCCCATCAATGCACCATTTGGAGCCGTCCTTATCATCTCGGATCGAGATGAGGGAGTCCCGGATGAACTCGATGCTCTGCTCCAGGGCAACAGAGGAGTGCCAGCAGGAGTCCCGGATCTCACAGCCGAGACTGATGTTAGGGAGCAGGTTCGGGTCGGAGTTGATCCGGTCGAGCGTGTGGAACATGGCCTCCACCCTTTGGATGCCGTACTGCTCTCGGACGTCCCCGCACTTCCGCTCCGCCACTTTCTCAGCGGACGGCTGGTGGTGGACGGAGAAAAGCGCGCCGATGATCACGTCCCCGTCCATGCGGGCCACGGAGCGGGACGCGGCGCGAGGAACCGCCGACCTCTCGTTGATGACACTGCTGTGGGAGAGCACGAGGACGCGAAAGAGACACGCGGGAAGACAGAGGAGAGCGAGCAGACCCATCTTTACGCGTGCCATGTTGTGCCACGGAGCATGAGCCGCGGCAACTGCGCTGGCGTATCATCTGCTGTTCATCCGAGACATGACCTGCGAGCGCAGCACCTGGGGTGGATCCGCGGATACCTGCGGGGGTAGAAAAGACAAGCTGGTGTGATGGGAGCTGGAGAAAGGAGGCCACATGTGTAGTTCACCAAACACGCATGCTCCCTAACGCCCTGTTTCCATCTGCTACAGCCTAAATGCCTTTGAGCAAGACACCAAACCCACAGTCGGGCTATTGCTCGTTGCTACGATATTTTGTTTAACACAAACAAACTACATAAGTTGTAGGTCCTGCGCGTGCGGTCCATTGATATATTACGGTAGCAACCCGATTTCAGCACCATGGCGCACGGACAGCGCACTTTCCAAAGGACGTCTTTGGGACTCATCCCCCTCGGTCGTATTCCTCACGATTTAACACAGATAATCCCATATTCGAGCGGGCGAACAAAAATCCCATCCGATCAGCGTGTTTATTTTCA